ATGCATTATGTCATAATTGAATTCGAGTAGTAACACATTAGCCCAAATCACTAGACTACAAATCATGATTTATTTACCATCATATTTTATTTACTATCTAAAATGGTAAATACCAAAAACAAATTGTTGAAGTGATTGCTACACTTTCTTCTAACGTCCAAGCAAGGTTTAAGCCATACTAATCTGTCTTTTTTCATATCGTGTCGGATTACTCTATATTTAATCATTTTCAGTTTATTAAATTATTAAAAACTATCTAAAATTTTAATATTGTTTGATAAAATGTCATTTCCAAATTATAAGTAATTTTTACATTTTAGTTGAAACTTAAAATAAATAAAATTGCTCAGAACAGTCTAACCAGTTAACCGGAACTAATCGAAGTTTTTTTGGTATTTTTTTCTCTATATAATTAATGTAAAAACTTAAAATAGTGTTGACTATATTTTAAGTGAACATTTTCCATTAATCGAATTAGCAAAAATCAGATCGTTCAGTCAACCGATTTTAGAACAAATATTTACGGTGATCGTTTTAAACGCTTTTTAGTCATTTGGACGTAAATAAACACAATTCTTTTACTTGAACAGTTTATAAAAAATAACAGAAACCAGATGGACCAATAACGGGTCTACGCATGGCGAAGTCTGACTCTAGCTGGTTACCATGAAGCTCTCAAGTCAAAAATGAAAAAAACCCAAATCTCTCTTTGTGAATTGGTTTTGATTTTGAGTTTGGTTTGTTAAGGAGTAGACACCGTCACGGTGGAGTTTGCATGTGTGTCTCGTGGAGTCATGACACTTTATTACTCGTGCGTCCCAATCCCTCTCGGTTCGGTGGCCCACTCTCTCTAGCTCCTTCATGTTATAACCCTTTCTAGATTTTTTTCATTACAATAATTCAGAATACAATTTCATTAGTTTTTTAAGCTTTAACTAAAATGTAAAACTTACTTATAATTTAAAGAATATTAGTAGAAGAAAATAAAATTTTTGATTGTTTCTCCGTAAGCAAATGATTGTTTTTGAGGATGAGATGAAGAAAAAGAATATTAGTAGAAGTTTTATTTCTGAAATAAATTTTTTTTTTATATACTCTGGCCCCTTAAATATTCTGTCAAATGCCATTTTCTTTCTTTATCTTGCTAGGTCCATTTCTGGATTCCTGAAATGAACACCCCATACTTTTCATGCCCATTTTTGTCCTTCCATTTAACACTCACCAAACACCAAACGCTCCTTTTA